TTCATTATATGATAAAGTTCATTGCTATTCAGAAGCTCAATGAATATCTATTAGATTTCAAGCTCTCAAGATTTTTATTATTTTTCAATTTAATAATTGACAATATATTTTAGATTGTAAATGAAAATAGTACAAAACAGCTGATTTGGAAAAATTCAGTTTCATTTCATAAGCAAAAGCTTAGTAAGTAAAATGATATTTAATTTTCTATCATTCTTAAAGATAATATATAAAGTAAAATTATTGGTCTTAAATATTAGGATATGAATCCAATTTTTTAGGGAAGCCAGAACATAATACTTAATAATTACATTATCTTAAGATAATAATTAATTAACTAAGAAATTACAACCATCTTACTTTCTAGTAAATCATTTTCATGGCGGATCTAGCTATAAATTTACACTTCAATGTTAAAATGGCTGTATTTTAGCACGGAATGAAGTATTATGGAATATTTAATTATGGTAAGTTTATTCATTTTGAATAGTTAAATCTAATATTTAGTATTTTTTTGAAAATTACCAACAAAACCTCTATTCTAATTGTCTAAGACATAAAGTAGAAGGGTTTTACCTTTATATTTATTTATGTATGGGAGATATTTGGTGACTGCAACTAGGCAAACTAAAAGTATATAATAATAATTACTTAGAACATCAAAGTGAATTATCATATTTTTGGAGGAATTAAATTCATTTCTTCGTTAAATAATATATTTGTTGGCAAATGATAACCATCAATATTATATTCTAAATAGCTACTATCTTCTATTTAGCAATTTTTAATCGAGTTCATAATTTAAAGAACATAATATTTTCTCAAAATATCAATTAATTCATTTTCAATCCTTTTTATGTGTTATATTATAATAAATAAATAAAATTAGATGACTCAACATTTTAAACGTATTTAATATCTAGATCACATTTAAGATCTGACTCAACAATAATTTTAATCAGTAGAATAAAATAATACGAAGCTCTTTCCTTAACAATTTATTGAATGTTATTAGGTTTTAGCGATGAGAGAATTTATGCTTTATTGCAATTAAAATTATTGTATTAATCCAAAGGAAAAATTCCTTTTCATATTAATATTGTACATAAAC